TAGGTTACCTAAGATAAGAAGCAAAAAACTTTATTCCTAAAAAACAAAACAAAACTAAGTTAATGAAATCATTCTAGTCTTGCCAGAATATTCCACAAAATGAAATACAACTCCAATATCAACTATTTCTGAAAAAAGTACATTATAATTTCAAATTTTTACCACTTTGATACATATCTCGTCTTTCCATCTTACTGGATACCTTATAAAGAAATCTATAATTTGAAAGCAAATCCAACAATTAAACATCCCTAAGGTAACAAAGAGATTATATCTCATAATCTTACTTTCAAAGGGAAACAGGTTACAGCTGTCTAGAATAATTTTGAAAAAAAGCTCTCATTCTATTCCGAACTACTGTCAGTTAAAGGAGAGGGGAAAACAAAGGTATAGGAAAAAGATAAAAAGAAAGAAAGAAAAGTTGAAGCATCCAGAATGTAAATACAAAGATACTGAAGCAGGAAAGAACATAGTGAATATGTATCAAATTTATATAAAACTGTGAATAAAAGGGCTGAGGATGTTACTCAGTGGTAGAACCTAGCATGATTGAACCTAGCATGATTAAACCCAAGGCCCCATGCCTAGCATCTATGGGGCCTTGGGTTCAATCACTAACATGGAAAATTAAAAAAACTGAGAATGGGAATATTGTAAAGATGAATCCTGCATTCAGTGCAAGTGGCTCATTGCTAAAGTTGCTTCAAATTATAAGGGACAAGATGATGCAAAATGTTTATATTTAAGGAATCTGTGTGGTCTAAAAAAATTTCTGCACCAAGAATCTCTTACTCATCTTGCAAGATCTATTTATATCTCAAAGCATATAAATGTATACATTGAGAAATAAATAATAACAAGGGACTTTCAACATTAATTTTAAGAAATGTCCATTTCAGATTATCAACTTGTTCACCGATATAGCAACTTAATAAGTATATAAAGACCAGTGTTACTTTTGATTTCTTTCTTCATTTTCCTTTCCAATGTTCAGTTAAAATAATTTAGACTTCATTCATTTCCAAATGAGGTTCAGTTAATGCTAAGCACAATATTGTACAAAGAGTTACTATAATAAAAAAAAGTGCTGACCAGACTAATAATAATGGGGCCAATCACTTACATATTAGGTGTTCACTTAAGATCATTTATTTTGATAAAAATTACACTCATTTTAACTTAACAAGAACAGGTCTGTTTTTTACTTCTATCATAATCATCATGAATGAATAATAATACACAACTACAGAAATAGAGAAAATACTGCAAACCCCATGGACTGTCTTATGAATAAAGGAGACATGAGAATTTTACACAAAGAAAATTTCATCATAGTTTAATGAAGCATGAATAAAATGTTTACTAAGAAGTTTTCAGTATTGCTAGCCAATAAACATATCCGAAAGAAGTCCAAAAAATATTAAGGTAAAATCATTAAAACATGGTACAAGGCCAAATGTCTGAAAAGTCATTTTCAAAAGTGATAACGGGGAATAAAAGAATAAAAGACAAAAAATAAAATATAAAAACCAAAGAAAGTAAATGATGGCACATCAAAAAACATGTAATAGCCTTAGAAGATAGGACAGACAATTCCCAAATGTTGAAGTTAATGAAGAAATTTGAGAATAAAAATGTTCTATCAGAGGAAGATAGGACTCTGCCTGAAAGGCACAGTGGACAAAACCCAGATCTACCATGAAACTATTCAGAATCTCAGTTCTATCATTAGTCCATGATAATGGAAACTATTTTGGAATTCAACTTCCTTATGCCTTTTAAGAAAGCAGAATATTTATTAATTTTTAAGTTTCTTCCATCTTTAAAAGTCTTTACTCTTAGGAAAATGGTACTAAACTACAATTTAAAGAACTTGATTTCAGCTCCAGTCCTTAAATTGTTGAATATATTTACTTTTCTTCATCTTTAAGTTTTAGACAAGATCATCTTTAAATCATTTCCAGTTCCTACTTCTTGAGAGTGAGTTTGGGAATCTAGCAGGGGAATGTAGCTACTCATATACCCTTGACTCATGAATGAGGACCCATTCCATGGGGAAAGCTGTTCTCTTTGACAGCATGCAGCTTTGGGAGGAATGCATAAGGAGCTGTGAGGGAGGAAGGGAACACCCATGTCATCAGCCAGATCAGCCAGATCTACCCTGGTGATCAATGGGGTGACAGATGTCATAGCTAGAATGTCCTCACATCTCCTAGCCCCTATTTCTTAAAGAACCATATTATGAAAAGATAACTCAGAAAGGTCCCTTTCAAAGTAGCACATTAATTAACAATTCATCAGCTGGATCTCACTATCCTAGTAATTAGTAGAAAGTGTGGCAAAGCCTAAGAACAGCTCATAGGAGACATCTGCTGTCGAAACTGGGAATTCAGTACATGTGTGAGCTACAGGAAATAAAAGAGCAGAAATAAATTTTGATAATTTGAGAGAAGCACTGTTGAGTTAAAAGGGAAAAAGTGTTTCATTACGCCAATCAATTTCTCAAGTACCAAAATACATATAGTAGGTCACTAATTATACTGATGTGAAATATAAAAGGCATGCGTGCGGCCCGGGTTCGATCCTCAGCACCACTTACAAGCAAAAGATGTTGTGTCCGCCGAGAACTAAAAAAATAAATAAATATTAAAAAATTCTCTCTCTTTTAAAAAAAAAAAAAAAGGGCTGGGATTATGGCTCAGTGGTAGAGTGCTCACCTACCACGTGTGCGGCCCTAGGTTCGATCCTCAGCACCTCATAAAAATAAATAAAGGTATTAAAAAAAAAAATGCCATTCTTGATGGCAATGACAAACCATGTTTTTGTTTTTATTTTTCAACTGTGTCTAGACCTAACAAGAATAGGGAAAGGTTGCGATCAAAGCCTGGCTGGTTGGCGTGACAAAGATCGCAGGAAGGAAATAAAACTATTTATCTTCTATTTTGCTTACATCTTTTCTCTTAAGAAAATGATTTTAAAAGATAAAAAAGACTGATCAAAATGCAAAACAAATGAAGAGACTGGCTGCCTTAGATTTTAAATCCAAAGTTAAATAAATTACTTCCCTGAAATAAAATAGATTTGTAGATGTAAATATGAAATTCTACTAGCAAATGTACCAAAGACCTGTAAGTGGCTAATATTCCAATGTTCAAAAACAGAAAATGAGGAATTCAAGAAATTAAAAGTGTAGAGTCTGTTATAGATCTTTTTTTTTAAAAAAATTATTTTTAGTTATAGGTGGACACAATATCTTTATTTTATTTTTATGTGGTGCTAAGGATCAAACCCATTACCTCATGCATGCTAGGTGAGCACTCTACCTCTGAACCACAACCCCAGCCCTGTTGTAGATCTTTTAAAAGAAAAAAAAAAGCAGAATAGCTTAATATATATATATATATATATATATATATATAGGTTTTGTCAGATATTACAAAAGGCATCAGTGAACATCTGACACTTCCATGAAAAGTGTCACATATGAAAATCATACCAAACTAATCACATATGCTATTGTAGAAGTACCAGAACTAGTAGATCTAGGTGAATGTTAACGTTGATAGGGTTCAGTGAATGTTCTCTAGTGTCTCTGAGAATAATAAATAGCACAGCAAAAAGACTAGCAGTCAGTTGAACAATCTCACTGTAAAAAAACTGGTGTAATATAAAGCCTATTAGCATGTTACAGGAACCTTTTTTTTAATTTCTTTTTTTTTAAAGAGAGAGAGAGAGAGAGAATTTTTTAATATTTTTTTTTTTAGTTATTGGCGAACACAACATCTTTGTTTGTATGTGGTGCTGAGGATCAAACCCGGGCCGCATGCATGCCAGACGGGCACGCTACTGCTTGAGCTACATCCCCAGCCCCTGGACCTTTATTTTGCTCTGTGTTTTTGTTTTGCTTTTTTGGGAGTTTTCTGGGCTTCAAGCATGCTGAACATGCATTCTACCACTGGACTATATTCCCAGTCATGTTTTTGCTCTTTTTTACTTGACATCTTTATCCACAACAGAAAGAAAATATTTTACAGCTTGCAGTGAATGGATAACTACCTATCTGGGATATTATGGAGAAGATCCTGTAACTATCCTGTAATCCCAGTAGATTTTCAAGTACATAAATGTTGAATTACACTACATCTGTACAACAAAGCTTCACACCCAGGGAACCTGGGGAAGAAAGTGTCTTCTAGAGAGTAAAAGGATATGAGACACTTGATTCATCTGACATGTATCTTGGGAACGAATTTTATTGTGCAATTTCTTTTTTAACCTTCTTTCACTGTATTTTAACGTATTTTACTAAAAGAAGAATTGTTATTTGTGATGGGAGCTAAGTAAAAAGTAATGAAATCTACTGGAAGAAGTATTACCACATGTATCACCACCAATACTACCACAGTTACTGCTAAAGTTACCACTACTAACATGTTTAGGTAGTCCAACTAGTGCCATACACAGTTCTAAAAGCATTAAGCATATTAATTTAACTGTCAGAAAAAATTACTCTCCATTATGTATTATTATACCCCTTTTACAGATGAAGAAACTGGGGCTCAAAGAAGTTGAGTAACTTGCCCAAAACTCAACCCAAGCAGAATGATTTAGAATGTGCCTTCTTAAACACAACCATACTATATTGTCAAGGGTATCTTCATATCTGCAAGCCCAAAATAATTTATGAACTGCAAAGTTTTCACGTTTTTGAATTTAAGCAAAGCCTTTTATATTCTACTGTCCTTAAATATCTTTAAGAACTTTATAAACTTGCGTAACAGGTAGCATTCCTAGCTGAATTACTAATAGACACAAAAGTATACTGGAGCTGTTGTTTGGAATTAAATAGTTGAGCAAAATGTTATTAAAAAATGAACAGAATGAATTGCTTTACTTCTTATCAATTAGTTTCTCAAAACCCATGACATTCTTTGTTCTTTTTTAAATGAACAATAATAAAACAATTGAAATATACAGAATCAGAAATTAGAAATTATTACCTGAATAGAATGAACCCAAGTGATTCTACTGCTGCCCTCCTGACATCGTCATTAACATCGCTTACCTAGGGGGAAGAGTTGAAAGATTATATTATACCACGCATTCTATCCTTAGATGAAACTGATGAGTGGGTCACATTGTTTAAGTATAATGTTCCTTCATTAGAATGCTTTCTCTCTATTGTATATATCAAACATCATGTTGTATACTTTAGATATACATGGTAAATAAAATTTTAAAACGATGACACATGTATGTAAAAAGTCTTTCCCTGATGTAGAAAAAAAAATCATCTGGAAATTCTATTTCAAGAATTACAAGCCTTTAAAGCCTGGTGAAGTTTGGGATTCAAGGCAACTTCTTAAAACTATTTCAGCTGCATCATACCATTCCTTCAATATTTTTTCCAAAGAAGTATGTCCCAAGTTTAAATTACTCCTTAATATTATAGGATGTGAATCTCTTTGGAAAGAAGGGATTAATTAAAAGTTCTACATCTTTCTGCATGGGAAGGTGACCTTGGGTTTACCTTCTTACACCAGGATGATGACGGAAACCAAGTAAGTTAACACACATGGAATGTAGACTGTGTGACCAGGCAATACTATTTATTCTTGATAAACTACACCTGTATTGAGAAGACTACAGATGATGCCTATTGGAAAAAATGAGCATGGGCTTTCCTGTACAATGCATCTTTTGTAACTGAGCATGTCCCTAAGGGGTACTTGGAAGCTAACTTCATGGGCTACAAAAAGAAATGGTTCCTTGTTGATCATTGGATTCCCTATTTAGGATGACTGCATTTTTACATGGTCTTGTTTATAAACGAGGGTGCCTCTTAAAGTGAGATTTCAGAAATTGCACTCAATTGGCTTTAAAGACTTCCATTCCTACTGGTATTATTCTTTCTCATCTCCTTCTGAAAACCTACATGAACCTAATGTTGGGTTATGGTCTACTGGGTAATGAAAAAGAATTCCAACTGAAAACTTAACTACTGGTAGTCATGTGGTATTTGTGCTGCTGTCATCTAAATACATACTATCCACCTGAAAACTTTCCCTTCTGGCCCATTTCCAAGAAAGGACAAATACTTACAGCAACATGCAGTAGGCGTCGAATAGCTTTGTTGTTACCAGAGCCACAATAAGCCATGGCGACAGTATACATTCCAGACCTTCGAAGAATTGGGTCCTAAGAAAGAATAATTCAACACTAATCATCAACTTAGCACAATACTGTTAGGCATGGTGGCATACCTGTGTAGTCCCAGCTACTTCAGAGGCTAAAGTGGGAGGATCCCTTGAGCAAGAGTTGAAGGCCAGCCTGGGCAACATAGTGGGACCCAATCCCCCAAACCAAAACCAAACCAAACTCAAATGAACAAAACAAAACAGGAATTGCTACAGTTAATAGGCATAGAGGCATCCACCAAGTAAACTGGTTTCAGATAAGAAAAATAAACACAAAGAGAATTGTGGTTATTAATTTTCCAAATGAATGAGGAAATAAAAGATCTGCTCAACACGTCTATCCCACCCCACACTTTCTAGGAAGTATAAACTTAAGTCAATATTAACACCCACAATCTTGGGATAGTCAATTCCCAATTATCAAACAAACAAAAAAGAAGCTGACTTCTAATTCCTTATTTTAACTTTCACTTTTACCTCATTATGTAATTCCTGGGTACTGAGCACTCAAAGAAATATGGCACTAAGGGCTGGGGTTGTTGCTCAGTGAAAGAGCACTTGCCCTTGCATGTGTGAGGCACTGGGTTCGATTCTCAGCACCACATACAAATAAATAAAAGTCCATCAACTTAAAAAAATAAAAAATTAAAAAGAAAGAAAGAAATATGGCACCCGCTCAAAGAAACACAGAGTCTGGTGGATGAACAAATTAACAATAATTTTATAAAACAGTGGTTGTTTTTATCAGATTTTTAGAGAATGCTACCATTTATCAGTGACTACCTATCATATACAGCACATTGTAAAAACAGGAAAAACCTTACCACAATAAATAGAGAGTGTCATTGTTTTCTGATGGAAGAATACTGAAGTATCTTATTAAAAATATATGATATCATTCTAAAAATATTTTTCTAAAAGAAATCAATTTGTAAATTCCTAAAGAACTTTTCTAGATTAACTTATCTGAGTTATCACTGTTTTGAAGCCATGGTTAAATTTAAGATCCTCAAATTACTCCCATTCAACTTAAATTTTATTAGAACTAATACACCCTGCAAGTTTTATGGGCAAATAAATCCACTGGACGTAATGAGAGAGGGCAAGTGAGAAGAGGATAAACAGGACCTCACCTTATCACGACACAGAGATTCAATGAGAGCATCAGCCTCTTCCATCCTCCCATACATCACTAATGCAATGCCAACTGCAAGACCACGTAGAATCTTCTCATGCTGAGTTTCTTGAGCATATCCAACCATGTCCTCAATAGCCTGGGCATTTTTAGAGCCCAACATAACCAAACCTAGAGCCAGCCCAGCTGCTTCTCCTAGAGAATAAAGAGTAAAATATTAAAAAGCAAGAATAATGTTTACAAAGTCAATAAAATACATCCAATAGAAAGTTGCACCAATTGCATCAATGGATCAAAAACATCCATTAAGCACTGTTTTTCAAAACATCTGACAAAAAGAAAAATACTATATGTGAAAATATATTCAAATATTTATAGCCGTTTTCCTTTTGAGCCTTGACAGAATGCACCATCAAATTCTACAATAACTCCAAAGAAGACATATATGGCAATTTATGGCATTTTTCCTATACTGTCACCAAACAACAGAATATCCTCATGATATAAGGATATCAATCTAATAACTTCCTATTTGAAAAAGTTCTACAAGGACACACAGGCTATACCATTTTAGAAAGCCTATGTACCACAAAACATAGCTTATAAGATAAATCTGACAAATGGGGCAAAATCTACTCTCCAAGTAGAGTATCTATGTGATTTTTTAAGAGGCTATGACAAAATGGGTAGGAAAAAACCCACAATTACATTAATTCCAAAGTTTGTTGTCTTTAGAAAACAAATGCTTACCTGTCACAGCATCATCCTGATAAAGGTTTGTTTTTAGTAAATCATACACATCCTGGCGTGCAGTTCCCATGGCAGCCAAGCCAAGACCCAGACTGCCTCCATGTCTAACGATCTAGGGAAAAAATGTTAGCTTCATTGATTTTTAACACTGTACTTAAAATCCAAGCTTTTATGCTTAAAATCCAAGCTTTTATTCTAACTCCAGAATCATTTTGGGGACATTAAATATGTAGAAGTTGGCTCAATGAGAATGATCAAAGAATGTGATAATCAGAAGGCCAGTGGTAACCTGAGCAATTTCAGTTTGAACGAATGATGCTTGCTGAAGCAATAGAAGAGTTGGGAAATGAATGGGAGGGAAAAAAGTGAACAGAGAGACCACAACTCTCTTTCAATAAATTTATAGAAGGAGAAGAAAACTGTACAATAACCAAGAGGGAGATGTAAGTGTCAGGGAGAGGTTTTTGGAGGAATAAGTAAGACCTAAGTATGCTTGTGATCTGAGGGGAAGGAGGCAGGAGGAGGAGCTAGAGAAGATACCTAAAACCATGGTTGTGAATAAAGTGGGAGAAAAAGGGGCCAGAGGACAAAAGTTGGTCTTAAAAATTTTAAAAAGGAGACTTTAGTAATCATGTCAATTTTGAATGTACAATATTCTTTTATTGGTGCCAAAAACATGCCAACCATGTCTTGGGAATATATTCCTTGACTACTTAGTCTTGGTGGGGACTGTCATTTAGGAAGCTCCTACCTAAACTTAACAAAAGTATGAGCTCTGATCCAAGCTAGCCCAATAGAATGTCTCTTTTCTGGAATTTTATAATTCAAAGGCAAAAAATGTTTCAAGTTCATTCATCCTAACAGTAGGGCCCTGAAGAGATGACTGTGTTAGATCCCGTTACAAAGACCTTCAAAGGTGCCTGACTCTTAACCTTTGTGGGAACTGGTTCATCAGCTTTTCCATTAGTTATATAAGCAACTTCTGACAAACCCCCTGTTTAAGTCAGTCAGAAGAGGTTCTATAACTTTCTATTGCTATTGGATTTTGATAACCATAAACATATCTGATACTAGAGGAAGTGATGTAAAGGCACATCAATGCACACAAGATTTGTAGAGAAGGGGCCTAGGAGCTGAGATAGACCATCCTATTGGCTCCATCTTTTCACTAAAGTGTGAGGATAAGGTGTTCTGGCTTACTTAGCCACTTTCCTGATAGCTTTCTAAAAAGAGCTTTCTTGAACATAAAAGCTAAAGTCTAAAATCTAAAATCCTATTTCAGGATTCTATAACAATAGGGCTATTTAGTTTTTCCAAAGGAATTACAGTAAAAAAAATTATTAAAATCAAAACAAGCAAGAATTCTAATTTCTTTGAGAGCATATGTAATTGGTGGGGGGGGGGTAGGTTTCTATAAAATGATAATGTTAAAAAAATGACAATGTTAAGATTCTAAGATCACTTATTCCAAAATGTCTACAAGCGTCAAGAAATTACATTTTTTACAACATACTTTAGTATGGTACTTTGTTTTGCTTTCATATACAGGATTCAAAGGAGTGGAAAGCACAATTTTAACTTACAGAAAATTTAAAAAAGGAAATTACCTTAAGGGGAAAAAAAAAAAAAACACAAAACTTCTGAAAATAGTACTGTTTGGGGTACTCCCAAAACCTATCAAATCTTTATTCACTAAAATGATTTGGCAAATGTAACATTTTCATAAACTCATAAGTAATAGAAATTTAGTTTTCTATTTTAATACTTACATCATTGCTGGCATTCTTTAGCTGATTAAGCAAATAATCAATTATGTCACCACCATGATTGGCATGAATGAGACCCAATGCATAGAGACCACCACCTTCCTGATAGGCGGATCCTGGAGAAGTGTCCTTGGGAAGGTATGTTGCCATCAACTGTAATGCTTCCTTCTCATGACCCTGTAAATTTGAGCCATAAAGATATCAGTAAGATAAAGGGACAGGAAAACAGACACAATATTTTCTGATTCCTGTTTTTCCTCCAGAATCTTCACTACCTGGAGCTCTTTCCCATACAAATTCATCACTCAAATGAGGAAAGTTAGTTAAAAGACATTGTCTATCCTTCAAACTTTTCTTTGTTTTAGAATGTTTTCCCAAATAACATTTTAATTCATACTTTGCAAAATGGTTTAGACAGCTTCCACAGGAAAAGAATTTCTACTTTATTTAATTAATTCTACCTTATTTAAAAAATTTTTAAATAAAAATTTAATATCTTATTTAGTTCACCCTTCTCTGTAAGATGACTGATTTGACTTAGCAAAACGAGTGTGTTAGTTAACTATAAGAAGCTTTTATTTTTTCTTAACTTCAGAAAAACTGCTTCTCTTCTGATGCCTATTCACAATGAATAATACATATTACCTTATGAATCACACCCAAACTGGCTGTAGCAGTAAATTTTGCCCAATTAGTGGCTCTGGCCAACCATTCCAAATTATCTCTGTAAGAAAAGAAAACTCAGTAATCCTGTTTACAAATGAATTTCACAGAACTTTTTAACACAGGTAAAAAGCATTAAAATTTTACCCCAAGGGCTGGGGATGTGACTCAGTGGCAGAGCGCTTGCCTAGCACCCTAGGATGTGCCAAGCTCTAGGTTCAGTCCCCAGTATCACCAAAAAAAAAAAAAAAAAAAAAAAAAAAAAAAAAAAAAAAACCCACAAAATTTTTCTTTTTTTTTTTTTCACCTTGAACCATCTCATCATTTTACTTTGTGGATCTCAACTTACTACTAATTCTATTCTAAGTTGTTTTTAATATTTTAAGGATTTTTAAAATGCACAACATATAATCCTAATTTTGTTCATTCTATAATGAACAAAACCAAAATCTATTATTTTCAGATATTTCCTTCAAAACATATCATCAAGCCACCTAATAAAAGGAATTAATTTTACCTTAAAATGAGAAGGCAAATTAAATTTTAAAATATAACAAAATTATAATTTAAAATTCAGGACTGGTCAATAGAAAAAGCTCTCCACATATATGTAATGATGTCAACACTGTCTCTATATTAAAGTAGAAATTGCCAATCATATTCACCTCAGAAACTGGTCGCTGGTTGTCCCACAGTGCATAAAAGAATTTGCTATAACAGTTGCCGTGTGACACACAGAATTCCGTACTGCATCCTACAAAAACAAATGTGGATTTTTTTTGATCACTGGCAAAGCCTTGTACCCATGCATGCTTTCACACATACTCAGAGGCCCTATTTTGTGGCAAAAACAAAAGTAAACTGAACTGAGATTCAAAATATAAATTTTGGACATTCTTTATAAAAACTAAGTAACTAGTTTATAAAAAGTCAAAGAGTTTTTATTTGCAGTCTTAAGTTAAGGTCGATACCAGATTTTAGGTAGGAATTTAGGTAGTGGAATTTCTATACTTTGGTTTCTAATATTTTAACTTTCTATTGCTCTTCAGCATTTTGGCTAAGGTCTCCAAAATGTAGGAATAACCTATATAGTCTATACCTCTGGCAACCACCAAAATAATTTTATTTTTAGTAAGATTATATTACATAAACTAGCTTCAAATGACTATCACAAAAATAAATCATTTGACTCTTTTTTTTGCTATTTGGAAAAATTAGTTTTAAAGTTTCAAAAAGCACTCTCACATATGCTTTGATCAAACAGCTATTCAGTCCATGAATGAATACAGCTATTAAAAAAAGAATAAATGTCTTTGGGAAGGGACATCAAGTAAAAAGGGAAACAAAGAGAAAGAACTTTTAAGCTATATATTTTTTTATATGAAACTATTTTTGAATCAAATACGAAAAATACATCTTCAAAGAATAATAATTATCAGCAACAATAACTGAGCAAAGGTTGTAACAAGGTTAAGAATCTCTACTTTCAGGGAGTAGTAAATGACTCAGTAGGAAATACAGTTTATGTAGGTACATTAATATCCTGATTGTGGTGTTTGTCTAACTATTACATGTATACAATATAATAAAAAGCATTTGGGTTTTTTGGTACTAAGGAGTGAACCCAGGATGTCACACATACTAGACCAAGCACTGAGCTATATCCCTAGTCATAAGCCACCCCAAACCCAGCCCACTTTTTTTAGAGATAGGGTCTTGCTAAATTGCCTAGGCTGGCCTTGAACTCACAATCCTCCTGCCTCAGCCTCTGGAGTAGCCAGGACTACAGATGTGTACCACACTCAGCAAGATAAAAAGTTTTTAAGAAGGGAAAAAAATTTTTTTTCACTAAACTTCCCAAGAGACTAGCATAAAAATGGCTGCCCAATCATTGCTAATTCCCTTCCCTTTTCCAATAAGTTAAAGTTTCACTCATTGTTTTTTTGTTTTGTTTAGTTTTTGTTCTGGGATTGAACCCAAGGCCTAACTCAAGAATGCTAAGCATGTACTTTCCCACTGAACTACACCCCTGACCCTTCATACTTACTTCTATGAAAGCTCAAGACAGTAATTTCCTTGATCAGGAATAAAATACAAGAAAGTATTCAACAACAAATAAAAGACAAAAACCCTCACCGTGGATAAATTTCCTACCTTTGTGTTTTTTAGAATCATGAGGTCTGTGTTGTTATTTCGTATTAGAAACTGTAGATGTAACTCAATAGCCATTTCACCACTTAAAATTTTAATCATTTTCAAAGTCTGGTCCTTGGGCTCTGGACTCTTCAAAAACAACAAAAATGCATATTACTAAAATTCATTAATCAAGCTTTACCTCATCAGCTCTAGTACACATATATACACAAATTCATTTTAATGGTAAAATCTAGAAAATGCATTTATCCTTATTTGAAAGGAAGAAAATTTTGTTTACTTTGTTGTTGCCAATAAAATATACCAGCTTGATGAAGAATACAATTCATTCCAATGAATTGCTCCCAATGTAAAATAGTTTAATATCAAAAATGGAAGAATATTAGGAAAGAATAATTACCAATGACACAAAGGAAAAATTACTTTATGCAGAATTTACTTTAGATGAGAAACTCCCTGCTAAAGATGGAAAAAAACTGAAAATCTGTTTAATTGACAAATACATGTAATCTCATGAACTACTAAGCCATTAAGACAATTCTTCATGGAAGAGAACAGGTGAAATTTACAAAACCAAGCCTCAGAAACCAAAAACCCTGATGGAGGAAACATTTACATCACTGCTCTACTATTTGCCCCACCCTTTCATACACTGTGAACATTAAAACAGCAGAAACAACTAACCTGCCCTCTAAATAGGATGGCGTTTGTTAAATGCCTCGTGTTTATCTTACCTTCTGACAGTCAATTTGAAGGTTTTCTGAACAAAGATCATTCTTTGGTAACTGTCTCAGGATTTCTTTTAAGTGCTTTTTTGGATTAATGTTTTTTTTTATAAAGGGACTTTTGTATCAAATTTAAATAAATTTACAATACAACATATTAAATGGAAACCTCAAGTTTAAAAAGCATACTCACGGCGTCTGGTGTCTTTCCTGAAAGTGCACTGCCTGTTTTTTCTTCTGTTTCCATCGACTCACTACAATGAAGGGAATCAACAATCAATAATCTGATATTGTTTCTAAATAGAGCATGCAGGCAATCTGTTCACACCACAGATCCAAACCATGTCCAAATGGAATATTTTGCAAGAAAGTGAGGTTTACTTCATGAGTATTACCAATAAGAAATAAGACTCTAGGCATCTCTAAGATGAAAGAAGCCCAGTTATTGAACTTTCCCCAAATAAATTCATGAAAACACCAAGAAACTAGGTCAGGAAAATCCATGGATAACAAATACTGTGTGCAATGTATCCCTCCCCATTCCCAAAACGGACAGATGGAGATAAACTACCATAGGCTACAATCAGTATGAAGTAAAGCATTAGGACAATAATTAAAACTAAACAGCCAACATTCTCTTCTAGGTCAAAGCACCATGCTGAGGAGAAAATGCTGGGCAGAGAAAGGAAACATCAGCCATCTTTTGTTTAAATACAAACACAACAGAATAATTTATTGAGAGCAATGAAAATTTATTTCAAAACAAAAGACATTAAGAAAGTGATACAAGATAAAAAAAATATCAGAATTTGAAATTTTCAGAAATTAAAATAATAGAACTGGGGGAAAATTGGAAATAAAAGAAAAAACCATTATAGAAATAAAGATTAACTCAGAAGGAACATGACAGCAAATAATCATATAATACCTTAGAAAAAGAAGACAGGAAAGAAGAAAAAATTTCAATTAAAAAGAAATAAACGAACTTCTAAGATCAGGAACAAAGATAGGATATTTACTCTTGTCACTTTAATTCTTTAATGTATCAGGAAGCCCGCCAGTGCAGAAAAACAGGGGGAAAGGCATAAAGATTAGAAAGAAAGAAGTAAACTGGTCTCTAGCTATAGATGATTCCAATGTAGAAAATTCTATTAAATCTTTTTTATTTAATTTACAAAAGCTAAAAAGTGATTTAAGCAAGGTTACAGGATTCGATGTTAATACACACAAAAAAACTATGTGTGTCATATAGTAGCAACAAGTTGAAAATAGAGATTTAAAAATACTACTTATAGTAGAATCAAAAAAAAACATACACAGGAATATAAGGAAATTAATTTAAGGAAAGATATGCAAAACCTGTGAACTGATATCTACAAAACATTGCTGAGAAAAATTAAAGAAAACCTAAATAAATGAAGAAAAGCACATGTTCATGTATTATAGATTTAACATTATCAAGATTTCAATGTGGGACAAACTGAGCAACACAATCTCAATCAGAATCCCCAAATTTACATAAATGCAAAAGATCTATAATAGTCATAGTAATCTTAAAAAAAAAAATTATAGGTCTGGGGGCTGGGGATATAGCCCATGGTATAGTGCTTGCCTGGTATGTACAAGGATCTCCAGTAGCCTCCACCCTCCCAAAAGGAGGTCTTACATTATCAGATTTCAAGCTTCCAATAAACTTGAGCAATTAAGTTTACTGATAAAAGAAATACAGATCAATGAAAAACAACAGGAAAAAAAATCTACCAACACATACATATACTAACTTGATTCTTGTCAGACTCCAAGGCAATAGAAAAAGGATAATCTTTTACACAAACAGCGATGAAACAAATAAGCATTATAAGCATTCATGTGGAAAAGAAAATAAAACCTGTTCTCCTAACTCATACCATATACAAAAAGTTGAGATCTACTAGAGATCTAAATACAAAAACCTAACATTATATAATTTCTAGAAGAAAACATAGCATATTAGCACATTGTATTTGTAACCCATGAGACCAGTGAAGAATTTCTTAAATAGAGCCCCAAAATTGAAAATATGACTGATCAAATATAAAAAAAAAATTGTTCATAAAAAGATGCCATTAAGAAATGAAAACATACGCCAAAGACTGGGAGAATATTCATGACATATATTTTTATCAAATGACTTCTATTAAAATAACAATAAAATACCACTTTACCAATGAAAGGAGCAACATTTTTAAAAGACTGACATCAAATGTTGGTCAAGATGTAAAACAACTACACTGCTTATAAAAGAGTGAAATGGTACAGCCACACTGGAAAAGAGTAGCAGTTTCTTACTAAGTTACTGTATTACTTAATGATTCTGCTCCCAGGTATATAGCCAAGAGTATCTACAAAAATGGTTGTTCACAACCATTATTCTTTTCCCCTTTTCTGCAGTACTGGGAATTAAACTCTAAGGCCTCAGTGTTTACTAGGCAAGTGCTCTACCACCAAGCTGCATCCCCCAGTCTTTATTTTATTTTGAGATGGGGGTCTTACTGACTTGTCCAGGCTGGCCTTGAACTTTCAATCTTTCTCCCTCAGCCTCCAAGTAGTTGGGATTATATATGTGGCCACAGCCTTGTTTTTGTTTGTTTGAAGTATTAGGAATTAAACCCAGGGCTTCATGCATCCTAGGCAAAATGCTATCACTGCGCTACATCTCCAGCCCAATACTTTTGTTCTTAGCAGAAAAGAATCAAACAATCCAAAGGTCTATCAGTAATGAATGGATACATATACTTTGATATACTCACAATGAAATGAAACTCAGCAATGAAAAGAAATCAATTACTGTATTTTACTATGTAATCATTACAGAGTTTATGACGAATCTTTTGAAAAAAGTGGGTCAAACCCATTATATGAAGCTTTAAAAAAAAATCGTGTGCGTACTACTTAAAAATCATTTATGACTACATTGTCTTTGGTGCAAGATTAGTATGCACAGATTCAACATATACATTAATGTGGTGTTGACAATTATCTGGTGAAATACGATATTAATTCACTCGCCAAAAAGATTCATTATGCTGAATGAAACAGAAACAAAAACAAAAACAAAAAGATGCATGCTATATGATTCCATTTTTATGACTTTCAAAAACTAGCAAAACTGGCTGGAGCTGGGGCTGGAGCTCAGTGGTAGAGCGCTTGCCTAGCATGCATGAGGATTCGATCCTCAGCACCACATAAAAATAAACAAATAAAATAAAGGCTTTCTGTCCATATACAACTACAAAAGAAAAATTGAAAAAAAACTAGCAGAACTATCTATGGTGATACAGATCAAAACAGTGGTTTCCTTTGGAGCAAGAGGTTAACTGCAAAGGGCACGAAGTTTCTGGGATGGTATCAGAGGTGTTGGTTATGTAGGTGTTATACTAGCAAAACTCAACAAACTGTATGTTTAAGATGTATGCATTTCATTGGTATTTAAATTGTTAATTAAAAGAATGGAAGAAAATAAGGAAGAGACAAATACATCCGTAGGCAAATGAGAGCAACATTCCTATAAAAAAGGAGGCTCCCAAAATAAAAAATAAAGGAAAGGAAAAACACAAATAATAAAAACTAAAAGAAAACCTTTCAGAGGCAGGAATAATTTTGGTGTATCTGAAGACCATCAGGAAGGTCAGTGAGGTTTGAAAGCAGTGAGTAAAGGAAGAGAAGATGAAGTGAGGGGTACAGAGGCCAGACCATGTGCAGTTGTCTTGGTATCCAGAAGAATTGTTCCAGGAACCATCAGATATGATCTGTGGACCCAAGTCCCTTATACATAATGGCTGAATAATTGTATGTAACCTGAACACATCCTCCAGCATACTTCAAATCATCTACAGATTACTTATAATTATGTAATGTTAATGCTAGTGGTTGATTTACTGTATTGTCTAGGGAATGACAACAACAACAACAAAAAGTCTGTATATATTTAGTATAGATTTAATGCTTTTCCCCTCAGTATTTTCAATCCATGGTTAGTGGAATCCATGGATGCAGAGCTTGTGGATACAAAGGAACAATGCATAGCACTGCAGGTTAATTTCAGGACTTAGAATTTTATTTGAAATGTACTGGGATGGTAAGATTGAAAGAAGAGTGACACCTGATTTAGTTTCAGAAGAATGACTCAACTGCATGGAAAACTTTGGAAGAAATCTAAGAAGGGAAGGTATAGGTGATATATAAACATTTTAATAAGTGCTCTAAATGCATAAGGAAATACAGGAAACTAAGATCTAATACTATATTAACCTGTTTATATATTCAGTTTTTAAAAAAGCACAAAAAGCTGAGGATGTTTCTTTCCAAATATCTGTCTATCTACCTATCTATCTATCAAGACAAATACCTTAAAGCACGCCCTCCAATCCCATCTAAGACTCCCCCACCCTTTACTTCTTTTTTGGTACTGGGAATTGAACCAGGGCCTCAGGCATGCTAGGCAAGCACTCTATCCATGAGAAGTAGTAGATCCCTGACTCTTTTTACTTTTTTAGACAGGGTCTTGCCAAGTTGCCAAGGCTTGCCTTGAACTTGCCGTTCTCCTGATTGAGCCTCCCAAGTAGCTGGGATTACAGGTAGATTTTTTTTTTTAACCTTTATTTCATTTATTTTTTTTTTTATGTGGTGCTGAGGATCGAACCCAGGTATCACATGTGCAAGGCGAATGCTCTACCACTGAGCCACAATCCCAGGCCTATAGGTAGATTTTTTAACTTATTTGATTAAGGAACAAACATGCTATCTTTCCCTACCAGATAATCCCTTCTCTTTCTTCCTAGAAGGATGCATTTATTTGGTTTTCATTATTATACTTTAGCACAGTGCAAAACAGAGCAATAGCCTAAAAAGACCTTATAGACTATGAAAGCTAATGTTAAATTTATTATTAGAATATGCCATCTATGAATATTATACCTACTCCAAAATGAAATAAAGATCGTTCAATTAGTTCTGCTGCAGAAAGAGATACTTATACCTGTCTTTCTCTGATCCTGAAACAGTACCAGTATTGGTGGATCCAGGCACAGAAGCAATAGGGGTGCCAACAGTTCGAAGATTCTGGATTACAGATGATAAAAACTGCTGGCTAGCACTTTCATACAAATCAAAACAAATCTGATAAGCCATCAGGAGGTTGTCTTCCTTTACCAGTTTTTCTAAGATATCGCTCACGGCCTGAGGGTCATCTAAGAAAATTAAGCACTGAAATGGAGATAAAGAACAAGTATACAATAACTGAAAACTTCATATACAAGGTACTTAAAACATAGCAAACAGTTGACAATATATAGAAAACATTAAAATGTAAGCACAGGGAAATTGAGGGCATACAATCTAGCCTACCCTTTTACTTCTGAACCCAGTACTCATGAAGTTTTCCTAAAAATGGAATGTTCTTCATTAAAAAAAAAAAAAAAATTCCATGAATTATACTGTGCCTGGCAATTATCAGCATTCAATATTAGTTGGTGAATAAATCTTAGTTTCTATAATTTTTTTTTTCTCCCACAAATAGGCATTGAATCCAGGTGTTCTCTACCACTGAGATATACCCCCACCTTTTTTTGAAACAGAGTCTAAGGTGCCAAGACTGGCCTTGAACCTGTGAACCTTCTGCCCCAGCCTCCAAAATAGCTGGGATTACAGGCAGGTGCCACCAAGATTGGCTGCGTCTTTAATGTGAATCATTATATCATCTGTTAAGAAATACACTTCAAGGGCCAGAGGTGTAACTCAAGAGCTCAGTAGTAGATTCTCACCTAGCATGCTTGGTTTTAATCTTGTATTATTAAATGTATTTATTGTTAGAATATGTCATCTATGAATATTATTATACGAGTAAATTTGTATAAACAAATTTTTAAATGTACAATACATTTTCTTATACAAATTGTAAAGGATAAGGAGTAAAAAGCTAAAAAAAAATAAAGTTGCCTCTAAGCAAAGGACAGTGAAATATTATTATTCATATGAGTTTTTAAAAACCTATTTAAAACTATTAAAAATTATTTAGAAACAAACAAAAACTTTAAAAATCTATATAAAGAGGGGTTGGGGTTGTGGCCCAGTGGTACAGTACTTGCCTCACATGGGTGAGACACTGGGTTCAATCCTCAGCACCAAAAAAAAAAAAAATACAGGTATTGTGTCCATCTACAACTAAAAATATTTTTAAAAAATCTCTATAAAGAGAGCTAACAAGAAATATAATGTTAAATTGACTTTGAGTGGTTTAAATGTAAATATTTTTTCTTCCCAAATTTTCTGTTTCAAATTTGGTTTAAAATACATTTTCAAAAAAGGAGCTTTTAAATTTAAATTTGTAAAAAGTATAGAGGATAGAAATACATGAAAGCATATATGCAATAAAATGCTATGCTCTTATGCAGAATACAAAAGTCTAGGGCTAGGGAAGTAACTCCATGGCAGAGAGCTTGCATAGTCCTGGATTCAAGCCCCAGCACTGCAAAAAAAAACTCAAAATCTCTAATTTTAAAAAATCAAAAAGGATGAAGATGTGGCTCAGCAACAGAGCACCTCTGGGTTCAATTCCTAGTACCAAAGAGAGAGAGAGAGAGAGAGAGAGAGAGAGAGAGAGAGAGAGAGAGACAGGTGAACTTATGCACATTTCCAGTCCACAAAATGCAAAATAGACTTTAAGGATCTACATGTGCTTGGACCTTGGGGAAAACACCTAGCATTACCTTTGGGAAAAGACCCAGAAGAAGGGATAGGGAAATACTAGCTTTTTATTTTATATATTTTCTGTTGAATTTTTTTTTAATGTACAAGCAAATACATAAATTAAAAGATATAAAGAAACTATATCCAAATGCTTGGTTGTGTTTCAGTAATGAACCCACAGATAATTTCTATACTGTGAATTCTTTTTAGCACGACATAGTAGAGCATCAGTAATGTTTTTATCTTCTACCTTTTACCTTTTTAACCTTCATTTCCAGAATTTCCTTAAATGCTTAGATTAATCCTTATGTTAATAATTTTCAGAATTTAAAAAAGAATGCATATTAAAAATGCATTATAACAAAACAGCCTTTAAGGCTATGAGATTCCATTTCTTATCAGTAAAAAGAAATATAAACCATATAGCTAATCTTCACAAGGCTATTGAAAAGATGAGCTGAGATACATGTATGAAGCCATTATAATAATGTAATACAATATAACACGATGTGGTATAAAGTGGCTTTGCACAATGTAGAGTAATGTAGTGCAGGGTAATTACCTGACAAACATTGATGAAATCAGGTTTCTCCAAGTTCATGTAGATTTTAACTAGAACTCTTAGTACTTTGTTCCGAAACTGTTTATTCTGCATTAAAGACATGCAGAGCTTGAGGCTATAAGCTAGCATTCCTGGGACATCATTCTGAAAAGAGATAAATTTTAAATTACATCATTATCTGGTTACTGAAGCATTATGTTTATTAGAAACAGAATTATTTTAACATACCTTCTTTAGCCATTCAAGACAATGACTTAAAACCCTTAGATAATAAAAACCTAAATACTGTAAACTTTTTTAGAGAGAAATTTTTAGTAAATAATCACATATTTCCTTATTTTCATGAAAATGGACTGAAAGCAATTTAATATTTAGTGGTCATCCAGGACCATCACTATATTAACAAAGAATACTATAACAGATTGATGCTGTTTATTATAAAAAGATTGCTTCAACTGTCCACACACTAAGTGCTTTGCAACTATGCTTTGCAACTGTGTCTGTTGAAGGCTTTCTGCCTCCTACCTTGCTACTAGACTCCTTCCTGATTTACTGCCTGTACTTATTAGTCAGAACTATCTCAAGCTCTGAGTGACTCAGGCACTAATGCTATTACATCTGTCTGGTGTTCTATGAGGAAACCTTAACTTACATAATGTTTTTTTTTTACTCTTGGGGTTCTTATAAGCAGCCCCAATATTTGAGATACTGCCCTATAAAAGTTCTTCAACATAAACAAACATACTGTAGAACTACAGAAGTTTTTCATAAAGCAAGTTGTAGCTTATTACTAAGTAAAAATAAATTAACTTAATGAGCTATAACTAGCATTTTAAAAAATTAAATACTATTTATGATATAATTCTGACATTTTAAGATTGTAAGTACAGGCTTAAGTGCAATATGTACTAGAATGCAAAACAAGATGAATTTTTTACTCTCCCCATCCATCCATTTACCAGTACTGAAGATTGAACTCAGGACACCCTACCACTGAGATACATCCCCAGACCTTTATAAATTTTAATTTGAGACACAGTCTTGCTAAGTTGCCAAGGCTGGCCTTGAACCTGTAATCCTCCTCTCTCAGCCTCCTCAGCAGCTGTGACTGAAGGCATGCATCACTGAAGGCATGCATCATTACTTTATTTTTAAAAAACATGTATTACCCCTTTTCTTTCTACCTACCTACCTATTATTCAATGCCCATTTTCCCTCTGGATTCCCCCAACAGACTGACTGATTTGGGCAGAAACTTTGTTGCCACAATATCTCCAATGCCTAGAATAGTAGGCATTCAAAAAGCATTTGCTGAATGAATAACAGCAAATATTTTAATCTTGTTCCCAAGAAGACAAGGAGAGGCTATACCTGCTCAAAAATTAAACTGAGAGTGAAACAAAGACCATCCTATCATATGGTCATTCATTTATTTATCCTACTTCTGCTGCTAAACAGTGGCTTAGACCTTGATGATACAGTAATGGAAAAGGCACAAAGTACTAAACTGGTAGGAAAAGCAATTATTAAATAATTAACTAAAAACTGACCAACACTTTGAAAAAAATACAGGGCTCCCTAAGATTAACAGAAGAATTGAACCTCATCTTTGTAGTAGAGGCTGAGTAGAGAAAGGATATTGGAGATTGATGGAAAACTCTGCAAACAAAAGACAGCTGAGTTGTGATCATGAACAGGAATGATGCAGGTTAATAAAGAATATTTTTGGCATTGGGGACAGGACAACGTACAACAGGAAAAGAGAAAAGACCAAAATGGCTAGAGTACAGAGAGTTAGCTCATGGAGAGAAGGAGGTGTTAAAGCAAAGTGGGCCTGCAAATCATTGTCCACTTAACTCAGTCTTGCACCTTTGTGACTACTTTGATTGGTGACTTAAACTGTCTAAATTATTGTAAAACATTCTTAAATCTGGAATCTACTTAATAGTGTTAACCACAATAAATTAATTCAAATAGTTTATCAATACATTCTTCTTAAAAAAGGCAAGGTAATAAATACAACTTCCTCAAGTGAAACTTCAAAAAGAATTGTGGCAAGAGAAAAGCAGATATTCTATGAACACAATTCACAAAGTTCATATATTAAAAAAAAACTTTGGCAAAAAAGATTTTCAGTTTGAATACTTCATTTTGCTGATTTCCCATCAATAACAATCTGTAAAATGACATCATCTACCTACCGACTCCAGTATGGTCTTCTCAAACACATCTAGTCTTCGTGTCTCCAGAGCAATGCCAATAGCCTGCTTGTACTTGTGATCATCTAGACATCGCTGGAACATTTTATTCACAATGCCTTCCAGCCTCTGGTCAATTGGTTTTTTTTCTCCTTCAGGCAAATCTGCATTTTCCACGCATTGTTTGGTATAGTGATCAATGCATTTTGCTATGGAGAAAATAAAATAACTCTGATTACCTTGTAAATTGAGCTAAACTACCAAAAAGGGCAATATTCACATTTATAATCACATATACCTGTGAGATAATTATAAAGTAATAAGGAAATTAAAAATGTTAGAACTTATGTTTTCAAATAAATCTGTTGTATTTGCAATAGTTACAATAAAGAACCATGCACCCACTCCCATAAGGTTGACATTATTTAAAACATTTCTAGGCCTGGTGTAGGGGCACACACCTGTAATCCAAGCAGCTCAGGAGGTTGAGGCCAGAGTTCAAAGCTAGACTCAACAACTTATCGAGGCCCTAAGAAACTCAATGAGACCCTATCTCAAAATAAAAAGGACTGGGGATGTAGTTCAGGGTAAATCGCCCCTGGGGTTCAATCCCTGGTATAAATGCACCTACTGCCCAAGTTTCAAGGACAGTCATGTTCTCCCATTTGCCAGGTTTACTTGTCATAACTACAGCCCAGGTATATGTAATAACGAAAACCCAAGGTCTAGCCTTATTCTCAGCTGAAGTCTCATAACTAGGAGAAAGCTTACTAGTCTTGAATTTTCTGGAGGTACTAATGAGTATTTATGCTACTCATTAAGATCCCAAGAAGAGAATCCCAAATTCTACTTTGTATGCCCACTCACAAATCTCAGTGACATTTAAAAAAAAAAAAAAAATCCTACAAAACTTAGAAGCATGAATCCTCTACTCCCCACAAAGTAAAGAGAACTGGTCTCTTGATTAACAACCACCTTCCAAAACTAAGATGATATTATATTTAGAAACAGGGACGGCATCTCCTATCTCATAGTACTTTATTTTTTAAATTTTTTAATTGATTTTATTTTTTCTCATAGCACTTTATAACTCGTTATCCAATAATAGAAAAGATAAATAGGTATATTTAACCACATTTCTAACAATGTGAAGAAAGTGCTCTACTTTCAAAAACATGCTGTCTATCCTTTAAAACCATCGGTTCTTCCTATAGGATTCAAAGAGTTAAAAAAAAAAGTAACAAAAAAACCAGCTAGAAGCTGTCCCCAGTAGTGCACACCTGTGATCTCAACTATGGGAGGCTGAAACAGGAAGATAACTAGTTCAAGGTCAGGGAGATCTCTGGCTCATAAAACAGAAGAGAACTAGTTAGAACTTCAGGGACATCTGAAGGTACCTCTTTCAACCCTGCTGTGCAGAATATGAATTTTTCCCCCTAAGGGCCTATGTAAATAATGCAGATTTCCTCTTTAATGAGCAATGAAAAATACCTGCACTGTACATTCCTGACAGGGAACATGATCTTGAGCTCTTTGAAACTATGATCCCATCTAAAGGGCATGCAGCCCCTTTTTTCAACTATAAGATAGACATTTCTCAAATACTCAAGTATTTTTTAAAGCTATAAAATCTTTGAACCTTACATAGTTATTTGAACTTATAATTCTGGTTGAAACACAAGAGAGAATCCAAAACCTTGCCTATGAGTTTCTGGCACTGGAAATGTTTCCCAAAGGCCCATGTGTTAAAGGCTTGTTCCTAATGTGGTGCTATTGGGAGATGGAGGAACCTATTAGAGGTGGGGCATGGTGGAATGCTTACAGGTGATTGGGAGTCTGTCCTTGAAGGGAATAGTGGGGCCCTGGTCCCTTCCTTTTCCTCTCTTAATTCTCTGTCCTGAGATAGGTGGTTCTGCTCTTCCACAAGTCCCTGCCATGATTTATTGCCTTATCACAGACACAAAAATAACAGAGCCAATTGATCATGGAATGAAACTTCCCAAACTAGTTACCTTTCTTCTCTACAAATTGATAGTCTCATATATTTGTTATAGTTCAGAAAGCTAACCACCCCTTCATTTTAAAAATAAACAAACTGGGCAGAGTGGCACACTCCTATAATCCCAGTGACTAAGGAGATTGAGACAGGAGGGTTCACAAATTCAAGGCTGGCCTGGGCAAATTAGTGAGACCCTGTCTCAAAATAATTAATAAAAAGTTCTAAGGATATAGCTTAGTGGCAAAGTGCTCCCTGGATAGTATCACAGAAGGAAGGAAAAAAGGAGCAAATGAGAAAACAATGGTTACTAGTAAAAACTAGGATTTTGGACCGAGTAAACCCAGGTTTTAACTTCTGACCTTTCTATTTAATAGCCGTGGGTCTTTACGTATCAGAATCCAAGTTTTTTTTTCATTTGTACAACAGGGCAAAAGTGTAATCAATCATGATATGTAGAGTGACTAGTATCAGGCCTACCACAATACAATATTCAATAACGTCTTCTTAGAAACAACTACATAAATTTGCATCAATCTGTTACTCATAATAACCTGAGTTATCATCTCACCAAACTGTAGGCTCACTGGACTAGAGATAACCATAACTGATGAGATAATCAGGCTCAGTAAGAGGTAGATCTAAAAACTCAATCTGCATAAAATTATCATAGAAAGATTATTAATTTATAGTTAAAATAAAACTGAGCGATGCTGGAGATGTGGCTCAAGTGGTAGCGCGCTTGCCTGGCACGTGTGCGGCCCGGGTTTGATCCTCAGCACCACATACAAACAAAGATGTAGTTCCGCCGAAAACTAAAAAATAAATACTAAAAAAAAAAATTCTCTCTCTCTCTTAAAAAACAAAAAACAAAAAACTGAGCAATATCAAATTCTGGAAAAAAAAGAAGGAAGCCAACAAGATAAAGCCTTACCAGATATAAAATAATTACCTATAATAGTCTCCACATATTCAGAGTTATCATTGACATTGAAGAGGTCACCTGCTCCAAGAGCATAATTCAGAGACTCCTCAAAAGCCCCCAGGTGATAAAATACTTTAGATGCCACTAAGGCTGCAAACTGCCGACTCCGGAAACCTTCATCTTCATACAAAACTTCTCTGAAAGAAATTAGAAAGGATAGATCCTGTTCCTTAAAAATCCCAAATCTAAATATTCAAGCCACAATTTAAAAATAAATTTCTAAATAAATTAATAAGCCACAAGACACATCCACAATTATTCAAATATCTTATTCAAATTAATAGAAATAGAGCAATTTCTTACATTTTGTCTACAGACTCAGAAATTTCTGCCCAGAAGTCATTGACAACTGCATTCAACTTGTGTAGTGCAAATTCCTGTGAAAGATAAAACCAAAATTCCATTTTAAAATACACTTACCATTTTGTTTCCTTTAAAAGTCTCCCCTCCCAAAAACAAACCAATGGCGAATCTGCAATAACAGTCACTAAAACTCTCTCTTTTTTTTTAATATAATTTAGTTGTTGATGAACATAATGCCTTTATTTCATTGGTATGTGGTGCTGCGGATCGAACCTAGTGCTTCACTCGTGTGAGGGGAACACTCCCACCACTGAGCTACAACCCCAGCCTGACTAAAACTCTTAATCTCTCAAAGACAGAAATTTACTCATAAGTTTTCTTGAGTTTACACATTTCCTTTCTGTTTCAATCCTAAAACATCAGACTAATCATGTCATTCCATGTCACACAAGACTGACCTGTTAGAAACTGCAAGGGTTGGGGTTGTGGCTCAGTGGTAGAGCGCTCCACCTAGCATGTGCGAGGTCCTGGGTTTGATCCTCAGTACCACATAAAAATAAATTTAAAAAATAAATGTATTGTATACAAATAAAAAATAAATACTAAAGAAAAAGAAACTGCAGGGCAGCCAGGCTTGGTGGTGCATACCTGTAATCCCAGTGGCTTGGGAGGCTGAGGCAGGAGGATTGAGAGTTCAAAGCCAGCCTCAGCAAAAGCAAGGTCTAAGCAACTCAGTGAGACCCTGTCTCTAAGTAAAATACAAAATTGGGCTAGGGATGTGGCTCAGTGGTCAAGTGTCCCTGGTACCCACCCACCCCCCCAAAAAAGAAACTGCAGGGTTACTCAAATGTTATTTAAGATTTGCTTTAATTTTGTTAAACTCAAGGAAAACCAATTGCTACTGCCAAGATACTATCTTCTCTGGCTAGATTTCAATGACTGCTACAGGTTGTGTAGGATGGCTCCTTCAAATAATAGAAGATATGCAGACACTACAAAATTTAAAAAGCTTCACAGAATTCAATTCATACCTTCAGCTGTGGTTCTTCTTCATCCAGAAGAGAAATTATTCCAGCTATAAGGCAAAAGGAATATTATGATTATGAAACATGCTCACTCAGATAAAAATTAATGCTTTGTCAAAAAACAAGCATTTCTGTCACTGATATTACAGAAAATGTAAGCATTTTTTGAGAGGTGATTTCACTAGGGTTGAGTCAGGTGCAGTGGTATACCCCTGTAATCCCAGCAACTCAGGAGACTGAGGCAGGAGGATCTTGAGTTGTAAGTCAGTCTCAAAAATAAAAAATAAACTGGGGATATAGCTCAGTTGGTAGAGTGCATGCCGTGTATGCACAAGGCCCTAGATTTAATCTCCAGCAACACACACAAAAAATTAAAACATAAATTAAAAATAAAAGGGGCTAGGAATGTGGTTAAGCACCTTTGGATTCAATCCCCAGTACCAAAAATGAAACAAAAAACTGTATGGTTTATATTTTGAAGCTGAGGAATAACTATGTTATCAAACTTTCATGACACCATATATATCACATCATTTGCCATTTGATGGTTTTCAAAATATGGTCCCAGGCCCAGCAGTATTAGCCTTATCTAAGAATTTGGTAGAAATGCAAATTTCTTGTTCTGCCTCAGACCTTCTGAATCTTTTGATTTGGGTTTGGGTCCAAAAAGGCTTCCCTGTCATTATTGTGTTCACTACAGTTTGAGAATCACTGACCCAATTTACTGACCAAAATGAGAAACTTTCCCCATAAATTTCAGAATAAATTATTTAGACAAAATAAACCAACAGTTAAAAAATTATTTAGGAAAAAAAGGGCACATTTGATCATCAACTCAAAAGAATAATATATTTCGATGATTTTTCAAGGTGCCTATATTAAGGCATCTCCTTCCTATCACATGTAACCATGATTTCACTAAATAATGAACCATCTTACTCATTCTGATCCCATTACCCAAGTGTTCCCCCACATGCCTTATCTTAGTCTCGAGGTACTAGCACTAACATAGGAGAGCAAAAGGAGTAACTGTCCTCTCTAAAAGAACAGATTTTGAAATATAGTCATGTCAAAGAAATTATTGAAAAAAAAAAAAGATATGGAAGATTTTGTCCTTATACCATAGAGGAAACCAAACCCTCTCAAATATTTTTTCTTGTAGATCTTAAAATCATTCTGGAACACTGAGTTCAAACTGTGATTTGATTAAAAAGAATCAAGACAATTTTAGTTAGGAGATGTAGCCATTTCTAAACGGTAAGTATAGGTTTGCCTTTTAGCTGGCCCAGTCTTTAGGGAACCACCATAAAGGAAAGGATACACAGTTTAACAAGCAAAACTAGAGCCTACTACTATTCCAAAAGCTTAAAAGCAAAAAGAACTTGGTACTCTAGGTGTTGATATATCCAAACCAGACTGAATGGACAGCATGGAGAAAATTAAAAATACAATTAGGTGGGGGTGGAGGGAAGACAATCTAGTGATGTGGAATAGACTAGAATGCTCTAAATGTAAAACAGGCCAGGCACAGTAGCACACACCTGTAATCCCAGATACTTGGGAGACTGGGACAGAAGGATCACGAATTTCAGGACAGCCTAGGCAACTGGTAAGAACTTGTCTCAAAATAAAAAATATATAACAGAGCTGGGGACATAGCTTGGTGGTAGAGAGCTTGTCTAGCATTTGTGAAGCCCCGAGATTGATCCCTAGAACCCGGATTGTAGGTGGGGTGTAGAACAAATCACAACAGGTAATGCTAAAAATGCCATTAATTAGCTACCATCAATCAAGGTTGTATATGAAAAGTTTTTTTAAACAGAGATACATTTTTACACTCTCTTTTTCATTTCACTGGTAACTAATTTGCTACATGATTGCTCTGGCTTGCAAAATCAGCCTCTGGGCATTTAATAGAACTAAATCAAATATTCTATACTCCACACACTAATAGCTCCTATCTTAGAGAAAAAGAATGGGAATGGAAAAGGCTTGAAGAAGGGGCTGGGGATGTGGCTCAAGCAGTAACGCGCTCGCCTGGCACGCGTGTGGCCCAGGGTTCAATCCTCAGCACCACATACAAACAAAGATGCTGTGTCCACCGAAAAACTAAAAATTAATATTAAAATTCTCTCTCTCTCTAAAAAAAGAAAAAGAAAAAGAAAAGGCTTGAAGATGGCAAAAACTGTTATGCAATAATACAAACTCAGCAGATTATGTCTAAAATGTTTAATTAATTTATAGTATTATGTGGATATTATTTCTCATATGGGGGTATGTTCCAGAAGACACAGCATAATAGCTGAAAGTGGCTGTCTGGAGATGGGAAGGGAAAAGAAGGGTGGAAGATTACCATTTTAAAGATTTCCAGCATTATTCCCCCTATATGTCTATACTATATTAAATCCAACTCACTTAATTTCACATCTCCTTCTAGTAAATAAATAGCTCTTTCTCCCCCATTCCCTTTTATATGAAAACTCTTGAAAAAAATTAGCAGTACACACTAACTTCTTATTCACTACTGTTTTTAGTGACTAGTAAATGTCTAATGAGTAAATGAATGAATAAACTGACACACCAGAACCATGACACTGGCTTGTTTAGCACCTGGGACAGACCCTAAAGCAACAAGCTTTAACAGACCTGAAACAAAGTTACAAAAGATCTGAAGCAGAAAATGACAAGTAATCCAAAAAATTTAAGAAATGACAGTAACAAATATATACTAAATTATCATCACAGAATTTCATCTCAAAAATCATTAGTTCTGCCCACCACAAGGAGGTCTGAATTCCATTATATTCCTGCCAAGTGTTCTTTTCAGCCTCAACTCTAAAAACTCTAGGGACCTATTTAATTATTTGATTGATTAATCTCTTCATTCAAGACATACTTCTGAACTTCTGCCATAAGCTCAGCAGTGTTCAAAGAAATGTGAAGACAAATTTCCTACCCAAAACTGTATCAGGGAAAGACACTAATCAGGAAAGGTAAACAAACAAGGTAATTACTGAATTGGGATGGAGAAAGGTGGCAGCTAGGGAGGAGAGAGTAAATGAATTTTATTAGAGTGGCAAGTTAAGATAAGCATTTGAGTTAACACTAAAGATTGAGAAGCTAAGAGAAACCTTGAAAAGAGAAGTCTAGAAAGGAAATAGAATGTGTAAGCGTCCACAGGTAGGACAAACTGAACAGAAAGAAAGCCAATGTGACTAGTGAATAATGAGTAAGAAAGTATTACAAGATGAAGTCAGCGACAACTTGTGTATTTGGTTGAGCAACTGAATTTTATTTTAAAAACAATGGAAATTGATTAATTTCAAGCAAAGATATATTACATAATTAAAGTTTTAAAAAAACTGATAACAAAGAATGGACTTAAAATGGGTATTGATGAAAACACAAAGTTTTAAGGCTTTAATAGCAGCAGGCAAGAGATGGGCCAAGTTAAAAGAGACAGTGAAAACGGAAGGATCTGAACTAGAACAAGGGCTACATTTACAAGTGGCAAGAAATTTCGTGTTTGTCTTCAGAGCATGGTAACTGGAAAAGCTCTTCTTCATATGAACTACACTTCATCTCCCAATCATTTGGATCCCTTGGGGACAAAAGTCTAATTACAGGTACAGGTGACAGCTCTTCAAGTGTTAGAAAATACTACTATGTCTCCCAGCATCTCCAATTTTCTTAACTAACCTTCGTTAAATGTGATTTGGAGTTCCCTACTCTATGGAATACTGTCTTTCTGCCCACCAGTTTGTTTACAACAAAATGTGTGTGGAACAGGTACAGAGGAAAAAAAAAAAGAAAGGGTATGTAAGCGAGAAGGTGGGGGGTTGGGGGTCGAGTGCGGTGGACAGCTATATGCAAATCAGTCTGTAGTGGGGAGCCTACAAATCTCCACTTAAACTTGATCTCTACAGCTTATCCCATTTCAAATGCCACTACATGGATTTACTTATAAAAGTTTAAATGTGGGGACCTTCCTCCAGACTCCCGAGCTCTTTCTTGAATGTATAGTACTTTCTGAACACCTAGGCTCAAAAGGTCAGCTGATTCTCAGTACAAAGCTGACTCGGTGCTGAATCAAACACCCCTGGAGTGGACCCAGAAAGGACCCACCTCGAACTTCATTTCGGATTTTACTCTACGGAGGACGTGTCTCGGCGGGTCCCAAAGCACTCAGGCAGCAGTTACTGCTGGTCTGCACAGAGGTCCCATCCAGTCCCAGCCACCCACAGAGAAAGACCGGGGTCCAACGGCCAGAACCGGGAAGACAGCAGGGAAACTGGGGATCGGGACCGACCAGGAAGCCCCTCGGTCCGGGCGGGGGGTGTGGCTGGGAGGGATGCAGAGGCGTTCCACCAGGTTCCATTCCTCCCAGCCCAAAGGGCCCGCAGCGGCGGGACGAGACCCCCAGCCCTCGACTGGAGCAGCGTCTTGGGCAGCGAGGCCATCGAGGGGCCGCGCAGGCTGGCGCTCCGCCGGGAGGTGCCCCGTCACCCGCCCTGACTCAGCTAAAAGCCGGCGCGACGGCAGCGGCTCCTCCCTTTGCGTGTGAGCCCCAGACCGCACTCACCGGCTGAGGTGATCATGGTTGCGTCCCTCACTCGCCCTTCCGTTTGCTCGCCGACCCTGCAGCTCAGTGTATCTGTCAACTCAGGGCCCGCTCGCTCCGCCGCGCCTCTTGCCTCCCTGGGTGAGCTGCTCAGTCACTCGCCTGCTCAGGCCGCCGGCTCGCTTCTTGCCTAGGACCCTGTCCACCTCGGAGCTGCCCGCCGCCCCGCCTCCCATCTGCGCGAATTTTCTTCCGGTCTGTGTTTTCCGGGCCGCTGCCGCCCTCCGTCCTGCACTAAAGAGTACAAAAGAAAGTGTCACTGTTTCTGCTAACTCTCCTGGAGGTCAGAACTCCCGCGCGTTGAGGACATTGGTATGCGTCTACCATCAGGCTTAAGAATGGCCACCCCTGCAAAGATAGGACCCCACCGACACCCGCCATTGCCGAGAGAAAGGATGCTAGGGAAGGCGTGCGCTTGCGTGCAGCGCTACCTGCAGTCTAGGAGGTGTCATTGCAGCAGTCCCCACCAAGCGGAGACTGAGTTTTGAGGGGTTTTTTTGTTTTGTTGTTTTTTATTTTTAATAAAGCAAAGTCTGTCTAAGAAAGAAATTCTCAGAGAAGTGCTGTATTACCATAATGAATCCACAAGTAATTGTTCTATTATCCTTTGAATAACTAAGATTTGGGTTTACTTTTAGAATAGTTAATACCATCGATTTTCATATTTCAAGAATCAGAAGTCGGGCTGGGGATGTGTCGGTAGCGCGCTCGCCTGGCATGCGTGCGGCCCGGTTGGATCCTCAGCACCACATACAAACGAAGATGTTGTGTCCGCCGAAAACTAAAAAAATAATAAGTATTAAAAATTCTCTCTCTTAAAAAAAAAAAAA